AATAAAAAATTTATTTATTTATTTATTTAACTGCAGAATACATGTCATTGTACATCCTCTGCGCGCGGTGGTCGTACCTTTTGGGATTTCTACTGCGTTATTTTTTCCTTCTATCATCTCAATTTTTTAAGATGACTATGCAATTTTGGCATCGCATAATTTAAATAACTCCCCCACTACTTGGGTGTTCGAATGAATTTGCTACATGCCACAAAATTGCACAAAGTGGGGGCACTGCTGTTGCGTTGCCCATTTTTTGCGAAGGTGATGGGTAAAGATAGATGGTGCCATTTATATCCTATTTTAACAAGCAGCAGCACTCCATTCAATAAGGAAATCCTTAGGAGTTTAAAGTCTGAAATAACTTTAGAGACAGGCTCCTTCTCCCTTCATTTACCAGGCAATATTCGAAAAACATATGTATAGATGCTACTCCCAGGAGTTCTTTCTTCGCGCAGCTGAAGCTAAAATTCCCGTCTGTTATTCCTCCACTTGAAAATGACAAAACATCAACTTCGTTGATAAGTTAAGGTTTTGCTGACGCACTTCTGAAACTTGAACTCCCAACGTGTGCTTCGCGAAGAACGATCCAATGTGTGTGATTTCTCCAACTGTTTTTGAGGGTAAGAAATTGCGTCCCCATCAAGGCAGACAGGTTAATAGGGCTCGAGCCTAAGACCCATACGAGGCTTTCGAAGCCGTCATCCACATTTTGTTTGTGACAACTGAAATGTTTTGCATAAAACTCGGATGGGGTTCATCTTGTAGACTCGGGAATTTTTAGTAAATTTTAAGATTGGGTTAACTGCCCGTATTCGCAGGAGTTAGGGACAATAGCTACTCGTGAATAGATGAAAACACCTGAGAGCCCTCTAAAAACTCTTGTAAGTCTTAAGCCGGAAGACAAGACTGCCGAAGTGCAATACCTCCGACGGGTCTTCAGAGCCAATGGCTACCCGCGCAACTTCGTCAACCAGTGCATACGCAAAAGGGACGAAAGGTCAAACCCCACGGACCCCAAATTTTGGCGAGCGTTTCCATATGTCAAGAACGGTTCGGAAGCTGTCGACCGCCTTCTGGCATCACTTTAGGTTGGAGTTGCACACAGACCGGAGGCAACCATCAGGCGTCAGGTAATGAAACCGAAAGACCCGCTGCCACGGTTAGAAACGTCGGGAGTCGTTTATCGGATCTGGAGCAGTTGCGGACAAAGCGACTACGTCAGAGAAACCGAAAGACTGCTCCTAACGCGAATGGCCGAACACGCTGTAGTAGTGGGGAGAACTGACGCCAGCTCTTAAGTTGCAGCTCACTCGACGAGATCCAGTCGCACATTCAAAGTCGACGAGGCCGAAATTCTCATTGGAGTTGACAACCAAGTGAGACGCCAGCTGCTTGAGTTATGGTTTACTGGCCCTCAGTCCATCAACAAGTGCAACGACCTTCCCCTTCCATACTCGATGCTGAGACTTCGTCTGGGTCGAGTCATTAGTCACGCAGGGAACGCACAGGCGAACACTGGTCCCAGCGCCAGGGTTGGTGGGTCAGATGGTCGAGCAAAGACCACCCCAACATCCGACACCCATGAGGAAATTTCAGCGATTAACGTCGCGGAAATGGCCATTTAACATTTATCACACCAAGTGCAACAATCCCTGCTGAAGGGAGGGCCGTGAATTTTCATGGGCATGCAGTAGCACGGCGACTGCATCCTATAAATCCTACAGCCTCTTCTGCATGAACTACGCGTATCTGCTACTGTCTCTGATGATAGGTTTGAGAAGGAATCCGAAAAGTCAGGCTAATAAAGCTCTTGTCCCAGCGATCCTGACTCCCCATTCGAAATTCTTGTAACTGCCCTGTTTTAATGTGCAAATACCAAATATGCAGTAAACTATCATTTCAAAACGCTTTAGTATTATTTCAAAATCATCTCATAACAGCAACCCGAAAATGTGTGGCTTACAGCTACGCGCGAACACACCCACAATTGTTACTCTTACCATGGTCAAGACTAATCAGGTTTACCCCCACATTTAGACACCCACTTTTTCTTTCATACCTTATTCAAGTCGTACCGTTTTGCTAGAATGTGCACAGTAGGTGGGATTAACATTAGGGCATTCATAAGCACAGGGTACAGTTAAGTACTGTGCCTAAATATTTAAATACACATTGTAAAATATACGAAATAAAGAGAAGTTTAGGCCGGCGTAAATCAGTCACTCAGTCAGTATCAGTCAGCTTATTTGGAGTAAATGACAGAAACCCTCAAAAGTCCATTTAAACGGTACAGGTGTGAATGAGGATAGTTGAATTGCAAAAAATTTACATGTAGCTTAAGTATGCAGAATGCGTAAATTTAATGGTGGGACATTAGTGGGAAAATGTGCGGCATTTGCGAAATAACGGCGAACAAAATCGTTCACTGCATTTGCACTGAAAATTTTCATCTGGATCAAGACTAATGTACGTAAAAGTACCTATTGAATTCATGTTAGTAGCATGGCGACCGTCACGATAGTAATCCACCGGATCGGGATTGGGGAGTTCGAGTTGCCTTAGGTGATTGCCCAGAGGTCTCGGTAGGGAAAGCAACAACATACGTCGGCAAAAAATTCCCTTGGCGAGTGACTCTCTGCGAGAAAAAGACGGGACGTTGATTTGTGTGGTACAGCTCCTTTTTAGGCTGATAATCGTGTCTTCTGAGATTAGCCTTTGGTTCCATTTCAAAAAGACTTTCCCAATCGACATCCAGACCAAGTCCTCTTAGCAACTGAAACGTGGCTATGAGGCCACCCCTATCCTGCCTATAGTGGAGGTGATATAGATCCAAGGCCGTCGGGTGCTGCTAGTACGTGAAATTTTTAAGTTCATGAACAGCCTTTGTAGCGCGTGGCTGCACACCTTCAAGAATATCTATATCCTTCTGACGCCACGGCCGTCAACCGCACAACTGGCCCATATACTTTGTCAAAGACATCTGCATTCAGGTTAATAAACTCTCTGCGTATCGCGCTTGTGGCTGACATTTCCCGCGCTGAGACTTTAGAACACTGCGTGATGACGTTTTTAACGAATATGCCAAGGTCTTTTTACACATCTACGGTTTCAAGTGATCGATTGTCCAGGGGATACTGTCGTGAGTGTGCATTAATTCTTCGCCTTGTTGATAATATGCACATTACCATACATTCTCGACGCTGAATTTCATGCACCATTTCTCGCTCTTTGTTTGTAAATTCTTTACATCCTCTTGTAGCATCTTGGCGTCTATTACATCTTTTATAACTCTCCATAGCTTAAGGTCATCTACAAAGAACGCTATGTCCGATTTCACTTCCCGTACTAGATCATTTATATAGATAATGAATAGGAGCGGTGCAAGAACTGACCCTTGTGGAACTCCACACTTAACAGGCGCCCATTCTGAGCATTAGTCACCCGCAGTAACTTTTTGTCTACGACCGTTTAAGAAATCATGAATCCAGTCCAGGGGATTTCCTCTTGTCCCTACGCCTGACTACTTTTAAACGAGACACTTATGTGGAATGCAATCAAACGTCTTGTTGAGATCAAAGTAAGTGACATCGACTGGAGGTCCTTCATCCATGGCATTTGGCCAACGTTCGAGCGACGTAAGAAAGTTTTTGCTGCAGGATCTCTTTTTCCAGAAGCCATGTTGAACTGAGCTGACGCGACAGCGGAATGTATCGAACGATGTACTAGATTTTTTAATTATCCTTTCAACCAGCTTTCAGGAAATGCATATCAGATTCACTAGCTACTGCCCGCCAGTAAATTATGTTGATTGAAGATGATGAAGAAGAAGAAGAAAAAGGAGAAGAAGAAGAAGAAGAAGAAGAAGAAGAAGACGACGACGACGACGACGACGAAAAAGTAGTGGAAATGATGACGATGATGATGGTGGTGGTGGTGGTGGTGGTGGTGGTGGTGGTGGTGGTGGTGGTAGCAACGGTGATGAAGAAGAAGAAGAAGAAGAATTGGAAGATAAAAAATAAAAAGGATTAAAAAGGAAGAAGTTGTGCAGTCCGGTGAATGATGACGAAGATACGACTCCACAGCAAAGTAAATAAGTTGCATCTCCTTCGAGGCGCCTCTCCCCCTTCTTTAGATGGTTTTGTCCATCAGCTGCGCTTTTCAGGGATTTCGGGAGGCTTTGGAGGGTCCTTCTTCATGGGCCCGATAAACATGCTGATAGATAACTGTAATTTCTGCTTCTTCATGGTGACTAGGGTATTATTTCGGAACTCCATGCACTCATCAACGACATTTTAAACTTTATGGAGCGTATCACATGAGCACCCCGTGCTCCAGTCATCTCCTGCAGCTCCTTCCAAGGACAGGCCTTCATCCTCCTTCTCCTCCTCCTCATCCTTCTCCTCCTCTTCCTCTGAACATTCCGTGTCTTCCTTGCTGGCGGACTTCGTCAGCTTTCCCAAATCCCGATCCGTAAAGGGGTCGGAGTGGACATCAATCAGGACACCGTACCGTTTGGCAAAAGTTTTTTTTAGAAAAAAAACATATCTTACTGGTATTTTGTTGTTTTTATATTAATATTAATATCTAAAAATTAGCAAATCATTCTTTGTCATAAAATGCATTTAGTCACGGAAACAAGTGAAAATAATTAGTGAATATTTTGGATACGCTGCAAGAAAAAAGAATTGGAATACGCGGGCGTAAATTGTGCACAGTTTAGTCATCCAGGTGGAAGCGAATATTGAAATAAGAGGAAGGGGTCGATCGTTAAACTCGATGAGGATTGCCTTCCGTTGTGAAGTCCTTGCTCTGGCAGGCCTGCCAGTCGATACTCGAGTTCTCGTGCCAGCAGAGTTTCGACTGTAGGCGCCTGGGCCTAGGTACACCTAGGTGTGACCTCACGGAGACCGTGAACATTGCGACTACGGCAACCAATAGGTCAACCGCACACATAAGTATAAAAGTAATTTGAAGCGCCACCCTATCTAGAGAAGAGGATGGCTGAGCGACGCGTTGTGGTACTCCCGATTGATGCCAGTGACAATGCAAAGTTGGCCTTCAAGTGGTATGTGCAGCACTCTAGACAGCCTCGCGACTTCGTAATTCTGTTGCACGTGCTTGAGCCCATAGTCCTCAACCCGGTGGGGGGCTTCGCTCTGGAGCAGACTTCCGTGTTGTCTGCGAATGTGAGTAAGCACATGAAGGAGGCCCTACCTGCGGGACGTCAGCTTGCTGAACAATTCGCCAGCAGGTGCAGGGAAGCCAACATTCAGCACAAGATCACCATCCACGCTGACTCAGTTCCAGGCAACGCAGTCTTGAAGGTTGTGGCGCAGTACAAGGCTAATCTCATTGTTATGGGCTGCCGTGGAACGGACAAGGCCCGACGGACGCACTTAGGCAGTGTGAGTGCGTATGTCCTTCATCATTCCCCGGTGCCTGTTATGTTAGTGCCTCAAAGGGATCATAAACGGCCCTCAATTGCGGTTTCGTAGGGCAATCAGCCCTCACAACTTTCTGCATATGAAAACTTGTCCCCCTGCCAAGCTAACCTTTTTTTCTATCAGTATTATTTATCTGGTTATAAATGAATATATATATGTATAAACACACGCACAAGGTTGTAATCATTTTTGGGCTGGTATGTAGTTTTCCAGTTTGCAGTGTTACCAAGTTAGTCCTCCCACTCAGAGGAAAGTCTGAAACCAAAGAAACAGCTTCTTCTTATTCCTCTTATTGTGTGAGTCCATGTGTTCTCAAGAACTTCAGAGGCTTACTTTAAATCAGTTTGCTTTCATTGAAGTATATAACTGAGTTCTCGGGAGAGGGGGTTTTAGGTGGTTTGCCGCAGGAGGGAAATTTTAATTACCAATAATCTCCTTTATATAGGTTTTATACGAAAAGAGGAAAGACCGCGTAATAATAGGTTGGGTAGTATTTATTATGTTAATTCTCATAAAGGCTCAAGAAGCCATCGGACGAATCTTGTGCAGGGAATTTAGCTGCGTGAATATGTTCTCCTTCAGATACGCCTATGCGAAGCGACTAGTCAGAAAACTACAATAAATTCTCGCGCTGTTTTGCCCTTGCAAAGACATGTTGGCATGGGGGATGTCCAGGCTGCTTTCAAATATTTTGTCAGAAATGCTTTTCCACCACTAACTCCTGATCTAGCCACTGTGTTATGGACTTAATTAACCCTAAACCAGAAGCCCTGAAGCAAAACGGAAGTCTTCATTTCCGTCCTGCCAACAAAATAATAGATCAGTGAACTCCACTATTGGGGGATTTTGTACAGTAGGTGAGCCAACTCATGAAATGTCCACAGAAATTTCGAAATGCGTTTTCGTTCCGAAAGGTGAATCAAGTAGGGTTGTGAATCTGATCATCTTGCTGCGTAATTCTACAATAATTCAGTTGCCTTAGGATGCCGGCTACATGCAAAAACTATACTCCGTAAAAAATGACTACGTAAGTAGCATAAATTTTTTCATTTATTTTCTATGCCCTTAAAAATGTATTATATTTCATGGAAAACCGGAATAAAAATATTCATTCTTTCTCTGATTCGGTAGAAAATGACGTCTTCTTCCAATTTTATACTCAGAGGGAGGGTATAATTCGGTTTCAAAAAACGTTTCCAATTTCGGGATAATTTTGAACCCGACCTGCCGTTGCATTCAGGGTTTCCGAACTACAATCCGCACATTTTCCGCGTATGGAAAACCTTATATTTCTCTATAGCATTAAGAGGAGACCGTATCGGGTTCATTAAATTAAGCAGTGGATTTGAGTTTTATTATTAATTTACAAGCTACATTGGTAAATGCAGAGACATAACGTTTTTGGACGGCCATTTCACGGTATTGAAAAATCCAAGAATTGGAAACTTTTTTAAACCGAATGATCCCCTTCCTTCGAGTATAAAATAAAAGGAGGCGTAATTTTCTGTCAAATGAATAAAAGAATGGACATTTTTATGCTGGTTTTCTATGAGATATATTTACAGTGGTAGTGGCATCGAAAATCAATAAAAAATGCATGCTACTTTAGTAGTCATCTTTCACAGAGTATTGTTTGGGCATGCAGCCGAAAAGAACTATGTGCATGATGACCAGTTTTACAACACTACTTAATTAATATTTTCGAAACGAAAGAGCATTTCGAAATTTCGGCCGACATTTCATAAGTTAGTCCACCTACTGTATATTGCTGACGTCAGCTGACGTGACGTGGACTCGTCGCTCATGTGGGGCGAGACTTTGGCGGGAAAACACTCCATGAAACAAGTTGGTTCATGGTATCGTGGCATGGCTGGCTGCTGATGACAGATGATCCTCATGTCGTTGTCAGCAAATTAAAATCCCTGAATACTGTAGATTTTAGTCATAAACGGGCAAACGTCGTAATCCACATCAAACAGCCCACATACCCCCAGAATGTAAGTAAACGAAATTTACCAAACAAGCACGGTGTTAGGTCTTAGTCGTCATGCTTGGTGTCAACTGCCGTTTAAGCAGTCGAGTTGAAGGCTGTCAATGACAGCAGAATGTCAGCGCCTGAATCAATCTTGTCACGTCAGTAGTAGAATGCGCTGCACATGGTAAGCAGTATCATCACCTGTCTTCCAGCATGTTTAGGTCCTGCCTAGAAAGCCAGACGCGCAATTGCCGACTTTCTGCGGCTGCATGACTCGATTTCGATGGAAATTACTAGAGTAGGTATCAACCACTCCTCCCGAGGTACAACTACTCCGTACTCTCTTTTGGAGATCCAGTTTGTCATCGTCCTGTGTGAGGGAGAAGGGGGGGGGGGGGCTCGGACATTCTTGTTTGCTTTGAAGCTCCGGTCTGGAAACCAGAGTTACACAGGTCTATCGCACTCCCCCTTACCCCCACGAAGGCCCGCAGTCAAGCCAACTTTGTAAACATAAATTCCACATGACTTTGAACATTCTGAGCGTTATCGATTGACTAGCCCCTCCAAATACTGATCCTCTCGTCCCCATCAGCATAGATTTTTCTTTGGGTATAGAATAGCCTCGGTAGACAGTCCTCGCATGCTCCCATCGAGTACTTGTGCCTCATGCCTTAAGACAATTGCGCGTGCGTCCCTTCGTTTGCTTCTCAGTCGAAGCTTCATTAATCAGGTACTTAAGCTGGTAATGAAGTGTGCTCTGATAGTAAATGGTCTTCTTTCTGCCGTATCCGATGATAGGACACCTCCCAAGGTCTCCTTTCCTTCAAACACCACGTTCCTCGCAGTGATACGGAATCGATTTCATTGACCAGAGATTCTCCTTCAGCAACCAAACCTGTGAACCCGTGAATTAGTACTTGTTGGCACGGCAAGCGTTAGCTGCTGAGGTTGCATTGGCTACCAACTGTCAGTGTTTGTCTGGTGGTGAAATCACTGCTGTTCCAAAGCTTTGATGTCATCATGAAAAACGTCAGCGGGAGTCGTGCCGAAACGAGTACTTTTGGAGACTTGGTTGATGGTGCAACAAAAAGAACGATGACGTCTGAGTTCTGAAGCGATTTAAAGCGGGTATGTGTTGCGATGCGAGAGTCCCCTGCAAAGCCAACGTCAGAGTGACAGTCCCTGTATACCTGCGCAGCACGAGACCCGTGAGGACTTTCACACAGGCTAAAAAGGTCGCTAAATCGGGTCGTGGCAAAAAGTACGCGCGTAAGATTCGACTTTGACAAAGGTGGGGACGCTCGCCGATCGTTCTTACGGAACTCACTCATTTCGTTGTGCCTTACGGGCTCTCTCTCTCTCTAGCCAGACCAGCAGCCGCACAGATGCGCATGATATAGGCAGAATGTTATTACTGACAAAGACAAGGGAGACTGGAATGGCCATTTCTGGCTTATTAGCCGTCGTCAGGCAGTTATACCCAACCTCTAAATGTGGAACACCCGAGGCTCATGAGCCGCTGTGCAGATGATGGTTGGGCTCGAGAGAGAGAGCCCGTAAGGCACAACGAAACGAGTAAGTTCCGTAAGAACGATCGGTGAGCGTCCCCACCATTGTATATTCCCAATCGAAACTGACAGGGCAACGGGATCGTGACCCAGTGGCTAGAGGCGTGGACTTCTGACTAACAGGCCGCGAGTTCGAGCCTCGGGTGTTCCACACTTAGAGGTTGGGTATGACTGGCTGACGACAGCGGCTAATAAGCCAGCAATGGCCATTCCAGTCTCCCTGGTCTTTGTCGGTAATAACATACTGACTTTAACAATCTGATCAAGTTCTGTGACTTACCCGACGGGCTTCCTTGTTGAGGTGCCAGCAGTTACGAAACCCCTCCACCCTCCCCGTGAAAATTACTTCGTCGTCCTTTCAGCTGAGGCGTTTGGACACGACTGCCATGCAGTCTTGTGAAGGAAAAGAGAAGTTATGTGACACCACAAAGTTCTGTGAATTGGTCTAGAGCGTTTGGAGGAGAAGACAGAAGGATGCAGAAAGCCCTTGGTGGTTAAGGTAGCTGAAATACTTAGTTTAAAAGAGAAACAAACAAGAGGGCGTTGTCGAGGGTATATTAGGCAGCCAGTAACTAATAACAGCGACGGAAGGGAACACGCGTTAGTTTCTCGAAGAGGATAAACCTTCCACTGGGAAGTGAAAACTGTTTCATGGTATTTTTTTCATCGTAAGTGACTACCAGACGAGGCCAACTGCCACCGAACGCAGTTAAACATCCTCACTTCGGAGGGCAGGGGTAGAAGCTCGACTAGACAGTCCTAACCGAATCAAAAGGCACTGTCAGCCAAATATTTGCTGAGCCTTCGTTTCACTAAGCAACACGCCGTCAAACATCAATGGGGGCATTTTTACAGGAATTTGAGCTTTACAAATTGGACAGCTAGTCATTTTGCTGGATGTCACAACAGCAGACTCCGTGAGTTGCCTAATCAGTAGTACGTTTGCCAATAAATATACAAATGTGGGACTTAAAACCTACGAAGTCCTTCGACAAAAGAAGAAGCGAGTGGCAACGGTGATGATTATGATGATGATGATGATGATGAGGAGGAGGAGGAGGAGGAGGAGGAGGAGGAGAGGGAGGATAAAGAAGAGGAAAAGGAAGAAGAAGAAGAAGAAGAAGAAGAAGAAGAAGAAGAAGAAGAAGAAGAAGAAACATCCGCGGAGTAATTTTGCCTAACTGACGTGCGTCTGAGACAACAAGTTCGACTGTCCAATGTCAGAACCTGGTGAGACCAGCTCGCCGTCATGGCTATAAATCCCTCCATGAACTCGTAGAGGTTACACGGACCACATTAAGAATATACCCATTTTAATGCATGTATCAATCAGAAGAAGAAGCGATCGCTGGAACAAGGTCTTTATTCACCTGACGTTTCGGATTCTCACTTGAATCCATCATCAGAGCAGTAGCAATCATTTACAGGTAAAAACTATGTCTCAGGATTATTGACGCCGGCTTTAGGAGAAATTAATGAATAAACCGTGAGCAGATCGGTGTGGTCTCCGCGGGCCCCGACCCAGACTGTCTGTACACGTTCTCGAACACAACGCTAGTCAGGCTGGTTCACGGCGCGCGCACGCGCGTGTTTATCGCGCTGTGTTGAGTCCGTGCGAGTCCATAATTACTGTCGTACATGCATGTGGTAGTCTTCTTTAGGCGTAGGCCGTGGCGTCGCGTTAGCCCTTGCGCCCATTTCCATTACAAGCTGATCGACAGACTTGGACAGTTGCCTGGTTCGTTGGAGAGGGAATCCATCCCCATGGCACAACACCACACTCCCCCACCCCCACTAGTAAATCGGACGTGTTTGAACCTATTACGACGCACTAATATTTGTGGCCCCGGAGGCTGTCAGCTGATGAGATAAATCGGTCCTTCTCAGGACTGTGAACCAGACTGCAGTGGCTCCTCCTTAATGTAACCGGTATGGCACTCTCACGCATGTGGGACTCGGAACGATTCCGCCGTAGCCTGACACATGCGGCGGGGACCGGATCGTGTGTGGCACGTGTAGATGGGCTGTTTCGCTTTGTCAGCCATTGCGCTGGAGCAGTGTGAGTGGGGGGGAGTGGGGGTGCGGTAGGTGCAGCACGAGTCTGTCTCAATGTGAACTGATTCCTGCACTGTCAAACTGCTGCGCTTATTTCGTGGGCACGCAGAAGACGTCACTTGAGACGAGCTAACTGTCACATACAGTCAAAACAGGCAGATTAACACACTAAAACGGGACGCTCTATTTCACGGAGGGCTCACCAGTCGACCCATCGTATTGGCCGTCAACGTTATCTGTGGTCTGACTGCTAGTTTCGGGTTCCAGTCGACAGCTCTCCTGGCATTCGCTTTCATTGGTTGACGTCATGCCTGAATGGACGGGAGCTGCACAGGGCCAACGGCTGCTCAGAAGCGTTTGTGGCTTGAACTGTGTGATCCAAAAAACAGAACAGTGGAATACAGACGAGCCACGCCATGACAAGGCATTTCCTGCACCAAAGCGATACATTGGAAGAGTTCCTCGGATCACTCGCTGCTGAAACCGTCCAACACTTCGATTCCAGATGAGGCCCCAACGCATAAAAACTATCAGTCGCCTGCCAACGGCAGCTCACCTGCGGAGAATAAATTCCCCTTGTATAAAATGACCGACAACCACGAATGAAGACGCTAAATCAGCGACTGGCCGAATTGGTGTCAAAAAAAATCAAAATTATCAACCCCTATTGCCCAGAGTGGCCACGAGTCGGATTCCGATCTGGTCGAGATCGGGGGCGCAGCTGATAACCAGGTGACGAGACGGTCCCCAGAAACATGGTTCCAGATAATCACTCTACCAATTAGCCGCCTACGCGACTTGATACTCAAACCTGTCAAGATGGCACAAGTATGAGAGGGTACTGCTCACCATCTGACTGTCTGACCCGATCAGCCCCAGAGCTGACAGGAGTGTACGCACCCCGAACTTAACGACCAACTCACAACCGACACTGGCGTTTTGCGATCAGTGTAACAGGCAATATGCTGCCACCCCAAAGGACTTTACATCAGGCCATCCGCTGAACTCATTTGCCTCCGGTCATGGACTGTGGAACTTTGTGCATATGACCTTTGTCTCCCTGTGGACTTTACTCCTCCTCCTCCTCCTCCTCCTCCTCCTCCTACTCCTACACCTACTCGTCCTCCTAATTTGTCTTCTATGCGGACTGGAATCAAAATTTTCCCCGTCACTGAGGTCCCTTTAAATAGTCTGTGGACTGTAGCCACTTTGAACACCATTGCGAAAATGTCCTTTCCGTAAGCCTCTCATCATCGAAAAAAGTGCATAGTCTC